TAAAGCGAAATGGAGGTGAAAAATGCTTACTATGTATTGAAAAGTACTACAGAAGAATTAGTTTTGTTTAGTTAAAAGTTCCATGAGTACTGCCATGCCTAATAAAATGTTTACTCAATAAAAAAAAAACTATATATCTAGAGACTGTAACACTTAGTGAATTAAATTTTCATTTTGCATGATTTATTATGGCTTTTTAATGAAGCATATTCTTTTTTCATTTGTTGATTAGTGGAATTATAAAGCTGGCGAAGTTGTGAAAGTTGAAATCTGGGATGCATCTGAAAGTGGAAAAAAAATTAAGGTAAGTGCAAAGGTACGCCTTTTTGTACTTTTTTTTTACTATGACTTATATTACTTGTATTTCTCATTTTGGTTGCAATTTAAATATAAAAAAAAGAAACCTATGAAATATTACAAGACAGACAGGCACAGGGATCTATTTGCAATACTTTCCTATGTTAGAAGCACAATTAACATGAAAAGAATAAAATTTTTAATCTTAACAATCAATGTATAAAAGTAATATGAATATAAAAAACACACTTTTGTACAGGTGATAAAAATTGTAACACAATTGTAATATCGTAAAAAAAAAATTCTATAGTAGCGTGCTACTAGCAAATTGAAGAGTTTGATCTTTTATTTTTATTTATCAATTTCACTATTGCAGTCATTAACCAGGATTTCAGGAGAAATGTACAAAAACGAGTTGCTTTTTTATAATCAGAAAAAGTTATCATTTTTTTCTGATTTTGCATTACAACCTGTTTAATACAATCAATTACTTGTTGAAATCTAATACAAACTTTTAAACCCAAAATCGCATAAAGTAAATCATTATTTAAAATATAAAATTCAACTGACCTAGCTACATTTCCCATTTTTAAATTTAAAGTGCAAGTTTGGTTAAGTTGCAAATTACCTTTTGTTTGCTTTACATTTATAAAGTTTTTTCTTTTTGGACATTTAACATGATAGTTTTATTAGTCACAATCAGGTGTTTGTCATTTTCATTGTTTTCTTTTTTGTTTATGCTGGATTTGATTCTCAGCAGTAAAGAAATTTTGTTTGTTTACACAATTTTGGTCCCAATGATAGGCATTGGTGATTCTTAACTTATCACAATATTTACATTGTTTAGGAGGTAGCTCCTGGAAAGCCTGGGCAAAATAGCTTGTTTGTTGTTTATTTTTATTAAATTTGTTACTTTATGAAATCTGGGTCTTTGGGATGGTTGATTAAAATTTTGACTTGGCCTGGGAAAATGTTAATTTTGGTGTGAATTATTATAATAATTTGAGCTAAGTTCTTAATGTATGGCGGTCTTGGTGTCCAGCCTTGAAATTATTGTTTATATCCACTATATTTTGGTTCTATCACTTCGTTTATTTTCATCTTGGGATAAGAAAGTAGAAATACCATGAATAATTTGGAATTGGGAGCCATTCAATTAGGGTTTTGGGTTCTTATAGAACCAAACGTTAATCTTAATTTCTGGGGGCAATCCTATTATAGACAAACCCTCGTAATGTAAATAATCAAATAAATAATAGGCTCATTACTTAAATTTAATTTTCAACCTCTAACTCTACCTTTTTGGTAAATTAAGTGTGGGTCCTTTGCTGAGCCGAAAAGTTTCACATTATGAAAATCATTAAAGCGAAATGGAGGTGAAAAATGCTTTTGAAAAGTTTTGAATATTTCGTGAAAAGAATCGCAATTTACACAGTTATTTATAATTAATTTCAAAGCTGAACCTTTTATGATTTTTTGAAAATTATTAATTTTTCACTCTTCATTTAGTTTAGAATCTCTAGGAATCTTTCATTTAATTAGAATATTTAAAATCCCCGGGCTGTGAACTGTACACCAATGTCAGGCTCATACATTAATATGTCTGGTTTTTCTTCCACTTTATTTAGATTTAAATTTTGAGAACTAGTACTTAATTCAATAACCAAATTATTTGAATCAGTTATTACACTATAGGACTCTTCCATATTTAATTTATTATTTTTACCTCTACTTGGGCATTCAAACATTAAAAATAGATTTCATTAATTAAATATTACATTTCATTAATTAAATATTACATTTAGAGGTAGGAAAAATATACAATCAAAAAATCATATGAATTGTAACATATCAGCAATAAAATAAATAATTCCTTCAAACATTACAAAAGACTTACAAAATAATCAATTTCCTAAGAAAAAAAATTTCAATAATTGTAATAAATTTTAAAGATATTTTCAAATTGTAAAAATGAAGAAATCTGTTTAACAATGTGATTAAGCTCAATCCATAAAAAATAGTATCAGTTTAAATATCAAAGATGAGAAAAAAATTTAGTAGCATTTTTTATCAAAGTCAATAAATATTATTGTTATTTAAACACCTATTACTTTTGGGATCAGAACATATTTCAATAATTTATTACTATTTGAACAAAAGTACATATCGAAATAAATACCATTATAAAATCAACATTATTTTTTAGATAAATATAAACACTGGTAAAAGTTGTTTCAAGAAATTAAAAACAATAAATGAAATTTAATAACACTTTCATTCCCCCAAAATAATCTGCAGTAATTATGATAATATCAATCAGTATTTCCCTTCACTAAAGTAAATGGAAATCAAATTTAGCGCTTTCTTTACTGACAAGATTTCACTGTTAAAAATAATCATATTTTTCACTACAAATCAATTTCGAAAAGCACCGATCCTAGTGAATTTTTAATTTATTGCTGTACCGCTATCTTCTGGAAGAATTACTTTAGTATAGGGGTGCTCAACCTGCGGCCCGCGGGCCAAATGCGGCCCGCCAACCCTCGATCTGCGGCCCGCGGCCGGAATCTGAACAAAATGGAAAAAAAATTTAAATATTTGTTTTTTGAAAAATAATAAAAAAAAATCGGTAATTTAAATTTACACTTTTAAGTTT